GACGGCGGCCTGCGCCACTGTAGGCACCGCTCAGGCGCTGCTGTGTACTTAAAGGAAAAACTGCTCTCGGGTCTGCTTGTGAATCCTCCAGAAACAGTTCATTACGTTTATGCAGTTATTGCATAAATGCTCTCATTTATACAGTAATTACACATTCTGTTCTACCCCTTCTCCCGAATTTTGTCCCTCTTTTATATAAAAAAGGAAGAAAAAAACACCCCACCAAACAAACAAACAAACAAACAAAAAAAAAACCAAACGCAAGCTCCAGGGAAGCAATGTTGTAATATAACAGCTTTTATCTGCCTAGAAATGTTTGTCCAGAGGTTAGAACTGCCCTGCAGACAATCTGGTATGGGTTTCTATTGAAACCTAGTGCTCAGTCTGAGCGCAGCCACTGAGGAGCCGACCCCACCCGCAGCAGAGCAGCAGATCTTGGTGACCAGGGGGTTCCCAAACCAGGGGGACATACAGGCAGCGGAGCAGCCTCACCAGAGCCAGCAGCTCCCATGAGAGATAGTTGAGGCATGGGCACTGCCACAGAGACAACTGCCCCCACATCAGAAAGGTGGCCCTCTGGGAGGTTGATCCGTGCTTGTGGATCGGATAGGGGGTCTTGGCACGTCATCTTGTGTGGTAGGACATATAGGCAGGGCACTGGGAGCTCTACCAGTACAAGAGCAAAGCTCCATTGGCAGGAACTGGTCCCACTCCTGGCTCAAGAGGTGATCTCAGCTAGTGGTCATCACTCTTCCAGAAGAGGAGCTGTGGTTACCACTTAGCTGAAAGCCACTGCCAGAAGGAATGTGATGAGCCAGCCAGAGCTCCCAGATGAACATGCAGCTGTGCAGGTCTGTGGCTGCAGGGAGTGCTTGAGCCTGTCACTCGTACTGGAGGGCAGCAGAGACAGTGCTTGTGCGTGGTGTGAACCCAGTGGATGATCTGCTCAGCCTGGTGGCAGAGCTGAAAGACGAAGTGGAAGCGTTAAGGAGTAATCCCCTCCTGGCCTCCCTCACCTTCCCAGTTGCCATTACACAGCAGGTGTGGGGCACTGGAACTTCAGGGCGAGGCATATGAGGACATGGATGAAAGTCCATTCAGGGTGTAGCCTAGAGTGAGTCAGTGAGCCCCAAACTTTAGAATTGCTTAATGTTTGCATTAGAGAAGAAAATGTTTTCCTAGAGAGAGGAAATAGTCTGGGAGGTTCCTGGAGTGTGTGGAAGATACCTTCCTGGCACAGCTGGTGAGTGGCCTAGCAGGGGAGGTGCCTGACTACACCTGCTGTTTACAAACAGAGAAGGACTGGGGAGTGGTGTGGTGGTCAGAGGCCATCTTGGGCTTAGTGAACACTGAATTAGATCTAGTTCTCAATTCTTGGTGAAGTACAGAGCAGGGTCAGCAAAACCACTGCCATGGACTTCTGGAGGGCAGACTTTGGCCTGTTCAGGACATTGGTCGGGAGAGTCCCTTGAGAGACAGTCCTGAAGGGCAGAGGGGTCCTGGAAGGCTGGGCATTCTTCCAGAAGGAGGTTGTAGAAGTGCAGGAGCAGGCTGGCCCCATGTGTTGTAACGTGCACCTCTGGGGAAGACGATTGGCATGGATCAACAGGGACTCAGGAAAAACAGGAGAGTTTACCACTGTTGGAGGAAAGGGCAGGCAGCTCAAGAAGAGTACAGGGATCTGGTTAGGTCATGCAGAGGGAACAGCAGAAAGGCAAAAGCCCAGCTAGAGCTCAATCTGGCCACTGTTGTAAGAGATGATAAAAGGTTTTTACAAATACATTGACAACAGAAAGAGAGCCAGGGAGAATCTGTGCCCTTTATTGGATGCGGGGTGGGGTGGTGTGTGCATCTGGAGAACTACAGGCCTATCAGCCTGACCTTGGTATCAGGGGAGAGTATGGAACTGTGAGAATCTCTGTAATCTTTAAGACTGCTATAAAAGGGACTAAAATCTATTGTTCTCTTCAGAATACTTTCTGCTGTGTTAGCGTCACGGAGTTCAAGCTTTCTTTTCTTCCAAAGCTCAGAGGCTGCCACTCGCTGCTGTAACTCACACCTCTTTTCTTAGGCTCTTTCCTTTCCCTCACCATTATATTTTTCCTGGAAAACCCAGATCAGGTTGTTATTTGATGACAGAGACTGGCCTCTTTTTCTCATCTCTTACAGTTCTGCAGGAAGCACAGTGAGCAGTATTAGTGGTCCTCCAAGCATACGTTTTAATTCACCCAGTCTGTTAAAAGTGGCACTGTATGTTCTAGGATTTCTGTGTTGGACATCCAAAGCTGGGGGCAGGCGTTAAATAAAAGAGGAAGATCAGACACAATTTTTCTCAGTTCTAGTTTTGACCCAATACAATTTTGTGGAACAGGCTGATGACAAACAGCTTGTCTCTCATGTTGCATTTTGGGTATACATCATGTGACGTCTTGTAGTTCAGACTTCTGAGACAGCTACCTGAGAACAACCATTGCATCAGGTCTGTCCCCAAAAAACTCACACAGGGTTAGTTACTTACTGAGACATTTTGAAATGTTCTGACAAAATGTCTTAAAAACTGAATTTTCCTTAAAAGTTTGAATTAGATTTATTTTCTCTGTCACAAAATGTTTCATGTCATCCATAATTTCTGCCTTCCAAACTTAAATTTCAATCTTTTTTTCTGGAGTGTGCTAACTTACACATTTCCATATTCATGGATCAACCTATTATTTCATCTGGCAGATTTCCAGTCTTAATTTTAATCAATAATTTTATTGTCTTAAAGTGTATTGATGACTGTATTCACTCATTGTTATTTCTGTTTTTTTACAAGCTGGCCATGGAATTCCCATCAGAAGACATTTTTTTAATGACAGCTTCTCCAGTTATAAAAGCTGTAACGAATTTCAAACAGGTAAGAGAGGCTTAATTTTTGTTATGGTAAGATGTTTGTATATGTACAGGTAATTCATAACTGAATCCTGAAAACCCTTATGATTTTGAACTTGCTCTCACATTAGCATGACTGCAGTGGGAAGTGTGAGCAGGACTGATGAGATATGTTATAGTGATTCATAGTCATTAGTAATTGGTGAATATATTAATAAAATCCAAGCAAAGGTTAAAATGGGTACTTACATGATTGAAATATTTTCTAAGTTACTGAAGCTTTATTTCACTGCTTTGTTAATAGGTGCTCCATTTTAAGCACTGAAACGGTGTCTTCAGAATAAATCATTTGAACTTAGTCTTTCTAGTAGTTTTCATATACAATAGTGTCTTTCAATTTCAGGCAGAAACAGACATCTGAGGAGTAACAAAAAAAAACAGACAAAAAAAAAGACATAGCCTTCTGTGGTATTGCCTTCAGCCTTATCTTCCTCTCCAGCAGCTGGTGATTCAGTGACCTCTTTCCTGTTGGTTTGAACAAGAAAATAAAAGTTATACCCAAGTTCAAACTTCTGGCGGGTAGGTTCCTTAAGCTAGGCTTGCAGGTACTCAGCTCTTGGAAAGCACTGCTCTTTTTCCCACTCTGGGGGAACTTCAGAGTCTACCACAGGGCATGGGAAGAGCTGGAGACTGGATTGCACAGAGCTGGGGTGCAAAGCTGCCAGCCCATAGGGAGGGGGTTTCAGCTCTCGGGGAAAGTTAAGACCCTGAGAGCTGGGCTTTCACCTGGCATTTATATTCACGACTCTGTGAGACATTGTATCTAGCAGGTGAGGTGTTTGTTTAAAAACAGGCTTTCTGTGTTTTTAACACAATTCTTCCTGGTGTAGGAATGCCTAATTAGGTCACTACAGGGAGGAAATAAAACAGAGAGATTTGAAAACTAGTACTTTGCACTTGATGGTGGCTGTAACTGGCTATCAACACCTCTTCCTTTTTGCACTGTGGTTTTTGTCCAGGGCTGATGGCATGCTCAAAACATGCCTGAGAACTCTCTGTGAGGCTGGTAGAGTAACACCCAGCTAAAGAGTATCTTCTGAGTTCAAGAGTGCTGACAGTAGGGTCCCGAGTACCCCAGAAGGACATTTACCCATTGCAGAGAGGTAGAGTCTGTAATTCCCATTGTCAGGAGTTTCAGTATCTGAAGAATAAGGGAACAGCTAAGCACTATTTGAAGACAGCAGCATCTCCATTTTAGACATGGACATCCTAATTTCTCTGTGAACTGCAGCCATGGTGTGGCGTCTGGTTCCTAGCTGTGTTCCAGACTCCTTGAATATTCTGTAAGTAGAAGCCCTGGAGTTGCCATGCACCTGCTCCCTTCTGGAAGAAACCCAAAATCAGCATAACCTCATAACTTCCATGGGTGTGTTCCAAGTTGTGGGATTGTTTGGTTTTTTTTTCTTTTTTGGCTCCCCCACCCCATCTCTGAAATACCAGATAGTGACTATGGAGGTGATCTTCAATCTCTTTTTCCTAAGCACTTGTCTTACATGTCCTGCTTACAAGCTGAACAATAGCAAACAATTTTCCTGACACAAGGGCCAAGTACCCACAACAGGAGCTTTTTGAAGCATTAGGCTTTTAAAGAAAAATGTCACCAAATTCTTTTTTTAATAGAGTAAAAATATTTACTCCAGACAAAAGTGTTTCCTTAATTCTTTTAAGATATTTGACCAAAAATTTTTTCCCAAAATGCCAAGGAGAGAAGGATGCCTGCATGGGAGAATGCCACTGAGTTATTTCAAAGTTAAACAGAAAAACAGGGTTAAAAAAAGTTAAAGCAGAAAAGCACTGCATCAAATAAGTTAAAAAGCAGTGTTAACAACTCTAATATTATAGTCTATTTATGAAATAAACATTATAGCAATTAGAGCAGCCACCAGGGTTCTCCATTTTTGCTTAATCTATGTCTTTAAAATTAAAATTTTCTGTACTACTTTGATTCTTTACCACGAATAGGCACAAAAGGATTCTGTGGATCAAAAGGAGCTTGGAGCAGTAACATGAGTAGATGTTTTGAGATGATATGGACTTCATGTTGTGACTTCTTTACTGGAAATCAGTGTAATACGTTTTGTAACAAGCAGTAGAAAAAGAGATGGATAAATGATACATACTTTTAAATACCTCTCTTCTTCCTACAGGTTTCCAAAACACTTGAGGAGTTTGATGTGGAAGAGCAACCAAGTTCTCTATTAGAAAAAAGATATCCCAATATTAAAGTTATACAGTCTGGAGTAAAACAGTTGAAGAGTGATGAACATGTAAGCTAATGTTCTTTATTTTACTTTTAGGTGATTTTTCAAATTATTTATTAAAAAGAAATCAAAGAAACAGGTGGATGTTTTGAGTGTGAAATTCTGTTCAAGAACCATTCTAGTTATTAAAGTGTTAAGTTGCCAAATTACAAGAAAATAGTTCCTAACTTTAATTTCACTTATCCCTTAACATTGTTGTTCAAGTAGAAATATATATATAGGGGGCAAAATTGTAGATCAAAAATTACTTGTTAATTAAGAAACTGTATCTTTTAGATGTAAATCTTTGACACCTAAGAGGTAGCTGCATTGATTACCTGCCTGACTGGAATTGCAGGGAGACCAGTCAGTGAAACCAGTACTGACAATATCCAGACAGGTGTCTGAAAGTTTCTGTGACCCTTGATTGGAAATCCCTCTGGTTTCTGAATCACTGCTTGTCACTACAGAGACCAAAATATTAACAACTTTGTGATTAAAAAAAACCAAACAAACCAACCAACATTTCCGGCTTTTATGCTTTCTTTTTAGCAGGAAATACATTGCAAGTATGAGCAGTGTACAGCATGTACAGATACTTGTTAATGTCTCTATCAACTCAACATGTTATTTTTCACTTCAGCATTTATCAGAAGCTCATGCTGAGATCCAAGATTGGTTTTGCTCTTTTTAAGTCTCAAAGATATGATTCCAATTACATTCTGCTACTATTCTGAACCTATTTATATTCTTCCATGTTTACTATAATAGTGTTTTAGCTTAGATAGATCTCTGTGGACAGGGTATTTCATGGATATGGATTAGGAAGACCTTTTGCCCAAAATCTCTAAAAACTCCCTTTGTGCAAAACCACTATAAACTACTTGGCTTCTAGTTTGGAAAACAACAAATAAGATCATAAAACGTTAAAATTTAAGAATTGCTTGTTGCAGAGTGATGTAGCTTGTTTAGTGCCCACCCTTTTTCTTTAGCAAAGAACAGAATTTGTGGTCTTTCTAAACGGCATTCTAGCCTGTGCCTGGTTCAGCTAACACAAGTCTACTGCTGTTGAAATGTTTTGAATGAGATTATTAATTGCTAATACGTAGTAGTGCAAAAGTCTACATCTACTACTGGGGTGGGGGGAACATCTGTCATGTAGGCTTCTTTGAGCACAGCTGTTGAGCACAGAGTGCCACCAAGTGGCAATCATTATGTTTCTTTGAGTACACCGTGCACACTTCCTCCTTTATCAGTCAGATAATATCACAGACTCAGGCTTCCAAGTCTGTGGTGAGTGTAATGCACATAGATGGCACACAGTCACTGAGAGTGTGAGGGCTTGCTCTTCAAGAAGCCTTTCATAGCTGCAAAGTACAAAAATAAGAAGCTGATCTTCTCTTAGATGTCTCCAACTGTTTTTGTTTTCTCTTAATTTTAACAGAAAATTTTCACTGAAGATGGGAAAGAATATACGTATGAAAAACTTTGTCTGTGTGCTGGAGCAAAACCAAAGTTAATTTTTGAAGGAAACCCATATGTGCTGGGAATCCGGGACACTGACAGTGCACAGGTAGATGTGGTTGGACCTGGGAGTGTATAATATATTCCTGCTTCTGATGCAAAACACTAAAAGTGATTGCAGAGTGAAATGGATAAACAGCAAGATTATGTTTGTAACTATATATCCTTAAATAGGAGCACTTTGAGTAGCAGAGAAATAGCCTTAAAATATGAAGTAAACTAATTGGTCACTAAATTCATTAACTGTATAGATGGCTCATAGACAGTATTTCAAACGTGATAATCTAGAATAAATGGTATTGTTTTAGAAGCCAATGGTATTGTTTAGAAGCTAATCTTAAAATATAAACAGCAAGTGGGCACCAGTGGAAACTTCCCTGGGAAGGTGTATCTGGTACAGGGTACAAAGGGCTACAGTGAAAAGCTGTTGAAGGACTTTTTTTTCTAGTTCCACTGTAGCTTCTCACTGCACAGAAAAGGGTTCCAGTTATAGTCAGAGATGTGGGAAGGTTTTCACAAGAGGAATCACTTAATTGACTAAAGCTTCACCTTGGAATTAGGAAGGGGGTTTTCACTGCTCTAGGCCTTTAGAGTGAGGGGGCAGGGTGAAAGTGAACACTGCTTCTCCAAAACATAAGAACTGCAATTCATCAAGTGAGGTGTGACACTGAGGAAAAAAAAAAGGAGTCTGTGTTTCAAGCAAACTGAAATTAAACTATGAAATTGTTTTTCTTTTGGATATTAAAATTTTACGTGAGTTTAAAAAGAGAAAAAAAAAAAAAAGAGAACTGAAGAGGGAACAAGGAATGCACAGAAAAGCTCTTGGTAAACTTGTCTAAACTGGAGAGAAGGATGCCACCTGAGTGGCACCAGTGGTGGCTGGAACCTGTGAGGGTGTTCCAGGGTAGTGTAACCACATACTTGTCATCTTCTGGTGTTGTTCCCTGGGCATCCATTGTTGGCTGCTGTGGGAAACAGACTGGGCTGTTGTTTGTCAGACCTGATGCTGGACTTGCAGTGAGGTTTGTTTCTGGTTTGTTGGTTGGGTTTTTTTAATGGTGATTGATTGTGTTCACTAGTCTCCTCTGATACCACTGAAGTATCTTTGAAAGGACTAAAGGGCTCCAGTTTTCCTGGTCTGTCACAGTTTGTGTTCTCTGGCACCATTAGTCAGATAAACTTGAAGCACAAAAGAGCAGATTTTTGTGTAGTTGCAGTAATTGGTCTGATACTCCTGAGTCTTAATTTGTTTGACAGAAAATACTTGACGTGGTTATACTGTGACCTAAAAGTACTGTCTGGACTGTTTGGGGCTTTTTTTGTAGGTTGGATTTTTTTTTCCCTCTCACCACAAAGATGTGAGTTGGAGACTCGTTTCTTCCTGGAAGCTTTTGGCACAAATAAAGTTTTTTCTCAGATTTACTACAAATTGTTTTTAAGTTCCTGTTGTCTGATTGTGAATCTTTAAATGCCTTTATTTCTTTATCTTTGCCTTTTTAATGTTAGTAAACTACTGTGAAAGTTAGGTGAGGTTGTGGTAAAACTGGGTTAATAGATATCACAATGCTAATGGTCTCTAGGATAGAGAACAGTCTCCTGGATTCCATTAAGGGCTCTGCCAAATTGGCTTAAATGTAATTATTTAACTCTCCTGTCTCAGTTTGAGACTTGTAAGGCTCCATCAATAGCTTCATCCCTTCATGTGACAGAACTTTGCAGGTTTCACTAGCTTCTGTAACAGATCTTAGCATAAGTAAACATGTACCATTAGTCTGAGAAAATCAAAATAAGATGACTAAGAGAGCAAGAAAGTATTGAAAAGGATATAGCTGATCAGCGTGAGGGAACATATAACCTAAGTTGTCACTGACTTCTTTGCTTCTTTTCCAGGCTTTTCAGAAGAATTTGGCTCAAGCTGAGAGAATAGTAGTGGTAGGAAATGGTGGGATTGCGCTTGAATTAGTGTAAGTAAATGACTAAATCTTAAAGATACATATGCAAATAAAGACTTTAACAATGCAATGTTAAATCTAGTGTGCATGAGTTTGGTAGAAGGTTGACTTATAAAACTGTTATAAAGCTCTTGAAGCTTTTAGTAGCAAAATGGATTAAAATAATGTTTTTGCAGTATAATGGTCCTTACTGTCACATGAAATTCAGCAAGCTTCAGAAGAAGATTTGACATGTAGGTACCAAGAATATCCAGTGTTTTTCTCCTTTGGCACCAACAGATTTCTATTAAAAGACTATTAAGGGCAATACTGAAGTTATAAAACTTGTCTGATCTACCAGTCCATGTCCCAGGTAGTACAAACAGGGTCCAAACACCTGTTCTTAGCAGTGGGCAGTCTGGCAAGAATGTTTTTTTTTTCATTGTGAGGAGCAGGTAATGCTTAGTAGCATTATTATAAATTTGATCTGCCTGCTCTCATCTCCTGGACTGGTTCAGTCAGTGTTGTGCAGCTGAGAAACCACAACCTGTCAACCTGAAGAGATGTTGGGTTTTGTTTTTTGCTCTTTTTTCTTTTTTAGTGGGTTCCTTATGTACATATTTAGAAGCAGTATTGGAGTTGATAGGTTTAAAAGTGTTAAAAAAATGAGATCACTTATTCCTAGCTTCTGGAATGAAGCCTGGCACGCTTCTCGTTGTGTTGCTGAGTCAGATCCTGCTGAGGCAGTCTGTCGTTTTGTCCATTGTTTAAATGCCCACAGGTATGAAATTCAAGGCTGTGAAGTCATCTGGGCTATCAAAGACAAAGCCATTGGGAACACTTTTTTTGATGCAGGAGCAGCTGAATTTCTCATTCCGAAGCTGACTGCTGGAAAACAAGAGACTCCGATTGAATGTAAAAGAACCAAGTATACAGTGGCAGGTATGGTGTTTTAGTCTCCTAACACTGCAGCAGCAGCATTTAATATTAAAGATAGTCCTAAGATCAGTTAATTCAGCAGCCTGTAAATAGGGTTTACTGTTATCATCTACGACATTTCCTTCTTTAAAAAAACAGAAGTAAAAAAGTGATATAAAATCTTACGCAGAATTTATGTAGACTTATGACAGCATGTAATACAGTTACCTACAAGCTGTAAAAGTTGTGCTTGTGTTCATATCTCTGCCAAGCTCATGCTTCATTTTTCATATTCCACCTGCTTGTTCAACCTGCTTGTTCTGTTTTCAGTAATTTTTTAGTGTTTTTTCTGAATTATGTCAGTGTTATGTAGGAAGGAGCTGTCCCACAATAAGGGGTTGGAGGACCAGATGAAACCTCACGGGACATTGTCACAGACGCAGTGAAACTGCAGTTGTGATACCAGCACTTCACTAGAGCTGTGCTCCTCCTGTGGGCAGTGACATCAGCCAGCTGGATCCACAGGACCCTGGTGCCCTGGGAGTCTGCCTGGCTGCTAAGGGCCCATGCAGGAGCCTAACTGTGGCATGGTTGTTTTGGAGATGAGTAAAGTAATGAAAGGCAAAAAGTTGAAAGGTGTTAAAAATACTGTTTTGGAGTCTGATTTGTCTGCAAATTAAGGGATTTTTAGGACTTGGCATGCTTTTGTCTTCCCTTTTGGCAGCCAGATCATACTTCTCTTGATGGAGAAGCCTTGCTGTGAAGTCCGCAGGGAATGAAGTCTGCATGCCCAATCTGATATTCTTCATCTCTTTCCTTCAGGAAGTGAGGAAAAAGAAAGACCTGAAGCAGCGTCTGACGAACTGGGCAGTGCCTTAGGCCCCGATTGGCATGAGGGCTTACATCTTAAAGGGACTAAAGAGGTAGGGTCACAATCTTGCTTACACATTTGTTTAAGTTGCTTTAAGTGGGTAAGGATGACAGAATGTGAAATATCACATTGAAGATGATTTGAAAAATACAGTTAAAATGTGCTTGAACTGATTCTCCTGTTCTGTCAGAATTAAACAGGAAAATATGTTCACACAAATAAAGCCACTTTCTGCTGGAGGGGAAAGGTGGCTAATTGGATCCAGTGGCATGGTTCCAGCCATTTGCTCTTCAGATTGGAGCATGGCTGTCAGTTTGTGTGTCCTGTAGGACGGGGTCAATCCTTGCTGTAACCAGCAGTGGTACCTCCAGTTGTCCTGGCTGAGCTGCCATACGTATGTTGTCTTACATGGAAAACAGGACAGTAGGATTTGTATAGAGGTACAGGGAGCATCAGCCTCCTGTCACAGCAGAAAATGAAATGTGAAATCAGTATTGCATGTGAGTGTTGTGGAGAGTTTCAGGTTTGAAATAAAGGAAAAATCTTCACATTTAATAGCTTTTTTTTATCATGTTTTCATTTATTGATTTTTTAGCTGTTAGGTGTTTGTGTCTGTTGCACACATTTTAAAAAAAAAAGACCTTTCAAAGATGACTAGTCATAGATTCTACAGAAAAGCTTTACAATACCAGCTAAACATGTTTAGCATATTCAGGAGATCAGTTGGTGGTGTTTTGGCTCTTTGTGTAGTGGAGAAAAAAACATTCAAGGCCTGAATCCACAAACTAGTTCAGAGAAACAGGCGACTTTCCAGCTTCTGTCCTGAGCTGTCGAAACATGGGCTGATGGAACAGGGTCTATTATGGTTTAACAGCATTTAGAACCTAAACTTACTGCTCTTATCAGAATTTAATTTGTGGTAGGAAAATGAAGGATTTGAAATCCTGAAAGATAGAAAAGATGAATTTACTTTTTTCTTTCCTGCTAAGTTCTGAGTTCTCATCCTGTAAACTCAGGGGAACTTGAATATGTTTTCTGGCATGTCATGAAACTTCAAGGAACATAAGGTATCTGATGAAAAAGGAGGTGAATTGCCACTTGCTATGGTTGAATACATTTAAATTTAAAGCTTATTTATGATCTGTGCTGAAAAAAGGGAAAGGTGTGGGAACTGAGCTAATGTGTGGTGCTGAAGGATGTGATACCTGGGCTTGTTTTCCAGTTTAGCAACATCAGTTTAGGTGAAGAAAGTATACTTGCTATTAAAAATACTCTGGTTGCTAATTATCATGTTTACAATTTTGTCAATCTTTCTTTAGTTTTCTCATAAAGTACATATTGAAACACTATGTGAAGTAAAGAAAATACACTTACAGCAAGAATTTATACAGCTGCAACGGACTTCTCTGGCTTTTCCTCAGGATGAGGGAGATGCAGAAGGGGATGAGGGTAGGTGCCAGTGCTGGTTGCAAACAATGTGTTGGAGATGAAGCAGTGCTGGGGCACGTTTGACTTTGCTTGCTGTTCTACAGCAAATACCCATCTAGAAAAATGTCTTTTATTTCTAGAAATTAAATTGAGCTCCAGAAATTTATAGTAGTTGAGAATTGGATTTGTGTGCTACAATTAAATTACAGCATGTTGGGGGTCAGGCCCTTCTTCGACAGTCGCCTAAATCCTGTTTGCAGAACGTTCACTCCTCCTGACAGTCCAGTAAATTCATATATTAATAGTGGAGTTAAAACTGAAGCCAAAAATCTCTGAACATTTAGTGTAAAATGGTGGTAATTCTTCAAAGAAAGTAGAAATAAATAACACTTACTTAATGAAAAATCTATAAATTGCACTGAATGAAAGTTAGTATTTTAAATACTATTTTAGTAGCTGGCTACTTCGAGCATAAGATTCTAGGAAGTCAAATCTCTGTTGTTCTTTTTGCCTTTGAGGCATTAAATGTGCATTAAATGTGTAAGTTTATATGCAAAAGAGTGTTTGACAAGTGCATCACACTGCAGAGGACATCCCACAGGGCTGAAACTGTGCTGGGACACAGTATGTTTCGTCCTGAAAGTGAGGGCTTTGATTTAAGAAAATTCTAGAGAAATTTAATACTAGGACTTTGGAGCTAACTTCAAAATCTCTTTTTTTTTTCTAATCCTGAAGTGAAGATAAGAAATGTTAGGGGTAACCTGTTTTTTTTTCATCTTTTTTTTTTTAATTTTTATTTTTCCCTACCTAATCAGTTTGATACCTCAAAAGATTATTTTATTTTATTTCATCTTTTAAAATAAGAGCCAATTAATAAAATAACTTCTGTTGGTTACATTCTCAGGGCAAAATTTTCCCCTTTTTCAGTGCTGTGGCCTGTATATGTGGAGTTAACCAATGGAAAAATTTATGGATGCAATTTCATTGTCAGTGCCACCGGAGTTGTGCCAAATGTTAAACCATTCCTTGATGGCAATAATGTAAGTTTGCTGATTTCTTTTGAAGTTTAAGTTTTTTAAGTAAGGTGAAATAAGCTTTTTCAGTTGGTTTATGCTTCTACTCTAACATGAAACACTGATTGCTGAAGGTTTTGAATATTGTACAGCATGCCAAAGGCAGGCAGGTATGTTGATATTGGAAATACCCAACAAGATAAAAATCATATTCATTTGTGCTCTTGGCATATCATGTTGCTCCTCATATGAGATTAAGCCTATAAAAAGAGAGAGAAACATTTGTGTAATTGGTTAATGTGTCAAAAAATTAGAATAATTTTTGTGTTAATTCTGCACCATCTTAAACAGGACTCTGTGTGAGCCCTGCTCAGCTATAGCTGAGAGATCCCTGTGTTACCAATGCTGCAAAGGCAACACAGAGGCCCATGCAAGCTACTGTGAAGGAAACTACCTCTTATCCCAGCCAAAACCAGTCCATTAGGGTGTTTGGTGGTTTGTTGTTCCCTCTGATTAAGAAGTAAGACACTATCCTCTGAATAAAGCAGAAGAAAATTATGAAAACATACATCTGATGTTGAGCCATGAAATATTTCAAGGCCTACACTACAAATTTAGATTAGAGGTTAGGTATTTGCAGTGGTGCTGCCTGGCCTTGGCAAAAGTACAAAGTGAATTAAGGGTAGGTGTCCCTGGAATGTACGTACTGTGGCTTGATATTTGGCAAGCTCTGTTATTTCCCTGCCTTGGTATCAGAAATATTTCAAAAACCTGTGCTGTGTTCCAGAAATAATGCTTTGCATCTTACCATGGAGGTCTTCCTGCTCTGGAGGGCCTCATGTTAAATGTTTTCTTCTGAATGTAATGCTGTCCTGAGCTTTTGTTAATACCAGGAGTTGGAGATACTGTAATGGATGCGTGAAGGTGACTTGTAAAACACAACACAGATCTGGTTTTAAACTTGGTGAGAAAAGAATGCAGAGCCCGTTAGGAAATTCTGCTTTCTTAGGCTGATTTTGTCTTTGCTTGTTTGAAAGGTTTGATAAGATTGAGGAAAAATTCTGCGGGGGGCAGGGTTGCATTCTGATCCAGTGAAGTCACCCTTGATACAGACAGCTGTGAAAAATACTTTGTTGTGGCACTCCTCAGGGAGTCTGTTCTCTTCCCTGGGAGGTGGAGTGCTGAGAAGGTGAGGTCTGAACGACGTGAGTCTCCTGTGGTTACCAGTCTTTCCTAATGAGGTTGGATTAGGTGGGACAAGGAGTAGCCAGAAACTCCTTACGCCACATGACCTTTTCTCTGTTGCTGCACAGCATCCAGAAATCTGGCTGGGTTCCCATAGTGTTTATTCATATGATTTTATATCTTCACGTGCTTTGATTAAGCAGAATAGTGAATTTACTGAAGTTTTTTTTTAGGAGTCTGCCATTAGAAAGTAACAAATAAAATGACTCCTTAACATGGATAAAGTTGAATTACATAGTTTGAATGATTGTTTTTCTTACTGCTGATCTGTGCAAACGTTTCAGTTTGCTGTAGGTGAAGATGGAGGTCTCAAAGTAGACAGACACATGCGGACATCCCTGGCAGGTATCTATGCAGCTGGAGATATCTGCACGGCAGCGTGGGAGCCCAGCCCGGTGTGGCAGCAGGTAACTCAGCCCGCGGCCCGGTGCTCAGCACCAGCCCAGTCTGCAGGGTCAGAGGTGATCATCTGGAGATGAGGAGAGGTCACTTTCCCTGTGTGGCTGAAGGCCAAGCTCCTCAGCATCCTTAGCACAGCATGCCCCCATGAGAACAGCGAGTGTCGCTCAGTGCACAGGGATGTCTGTCCCTTTCTTTAGGTCTCTCTAACATTTTTTGTCTTGCAGATGAGGCTGTGGACTCAAGCTAGGCAGATGGGCTGGTATGCTGCAAAATGCATGGCAGCAGATATGTCAGGGGAGTCTATTGAGATGGATTTCTGCTTTGAACTATTTGCTCACGTTACAAAATTTTTCAATTACAAGGTAAATACAGTCTAATAAAGCACCGAGTAACACATGCTGCCTGCTTATATGCCCTTGCTGACACTGAGCAGGTGCTTTAATAGTGCCAAAACTGTGTTCTCTATATAATAATTAATCTTACTTCAGATGCTCTCCATTCATACTAACTTTTCAGTGCTGAAGCTGAAGAGGGCACAGACCTTTACAGATACATTATAAATTTTAATTGTTGAATGACAACTGATCTACTTGGCATCTTTGTATATACTCATATATTCCATTTTGTTAAGTTTCTGTTCATGGATAAATTCAACAGTTGAGCACGGTAACTGGCTCATTGTTGGGTTTTCAGTATGGTATTTCCAGGTGAAGGGTTTTAATGCTGTTCTGGGTTTGCAAGCCAAAGGGGGGAGATTGCCTGGGGACAAACATGTCCCTGTTTACATCAGTCTTTTGAAGCTTAGAAGGATTATGAGCAGAAATACTAAAGACTACCACAATGTTCTTAGGAGTGCTTTTTCTTTTCCCTTCTGTTAGGTGGTGGTTTTGGGAAAATACAACGCTCAAGGCCTGGGTTTAGACCATGAACTGATGCTGAGGTGTACCAAGGGGCAGGAGTATGTTAAAGTAGTGATGCAGAACGGCCGGATGGTGGGAGCTGTGCTGATTGGTGAAACGGACCTGGAAGAAACCTTTGAAAACTTAATTTTAAACCAAATGGATCTTTCAGCCTATGGTGAAGATCTCCTGAATCCAGACATCGACATAGAAGATTATTTTGATTGAATAAAAACACATTTCCATTCTGTATAAAGTTTAGACACAGAGTCTTATAAAACCATTGCCTCAGGATGACAAGAAATGAGAGGTAAATGCAGTTCCTTATTAAGATTTTGTGTTGATCTTGACAAAATACTGGCTGGCAAGTTTAATTAATTGGTGTAGAAATGCAGCACCAAAAGAAGGGGATTTGCGCTGGCAGAGTGTTCATCCAGATGAGGCGAGCCTCTGAGAACACGGCTGTAACAGTCGTAGGGTGTGGGCTCCCCGTGCTGTTAGGACAGCGAGTGCAAGGCAGCCTTCACTTTTTAAAAATAAATAAAACAAATCCTCTGCCTGCCTCACAGCTCCCTTCCCCAAACCACGCACAGTTCAGCTGCCGTGGTTACCAGAGCCAGGTTGCCCCGTGGCTCACCACCCTATGTTCCTCAGCTGGGGCAGGAAGCCACCCTTGAGCCAGGATTCCTTCGTGTGCAGCTTCTTCACGGCTGCCAGTGCAGCTGCTGAGGCGCCTGCGGGGGCTGCTCCAGCAGGAGCCCCGCCCAGCACCAGGGGGAGCTCCCGCAGCAGGAGCCTGCGGAGCCGGCTGCCCCGTCCCCACTGTGGTGAGTGGCACAGCGTGCCACCCTGCATGGAATGCAAGTCCCACATCCTGACAGCTACGACAGTCACTTCATGAAAACGTTCTTGGGGACTCTGTCTTGGCCGCTTTCTGCCCTCGCCTTATTTGCACTGTCATGTTTCTGGGTTCCAGAACTAAATTTTTGCAGGTACTAAACTCCAGTTTGACTTGTGGTGCCTAGAGACAAAGGCTCTGCTCCACGCCCAGCTCCCTGGCTGGCTGCAGAGGTACGCAAGGTGCACGTTGATAGTAGTGATGTGTCTGCACGGGGCCGAGCTGGTAACGCCCAGCAAGTCAAGCTAGTCCTAAAGGCCCTCTCTGTATTCCATAGCACCATCCACGGACTTACTGGCTTTGGTTTTTTTGGCTTACGTCCACTTTCTTACTAGCTTTTGGTTTGTTCTACAGTTGCTGCTTATTTAGGATCAAATGGGGAACAGTTTGTTGTACTCCACTAAATGCAAAGTTTGCCATGCATATTGAGACTTCTCTCAGAAAAATCACTCTATTTTTTAAGAGAATGACTGCTTAATTAAATGAATGTATTCCATTTTTGGCCAAGGCATCAGTTAAATGGTGGGTGAAATACTAAGCTTTAGTCACTGACAAGATTCTACTAGAAAAATAAAGATGAAGGGCATTTGTAATCGTGTTTGTTTTACATTGAAGTTGGTATACATCTGAATGCCTGTGTAAGGTGATCCAAAATGAAACTCACCAGAACAAATATAATGAGTTTGAACTTAAAAAAGAGCTTTTACAGTGAGAACAATCAAGCACTGGTACAACCTCTTCAGCACAGCGGTAGAGTCCTCATCCCAGGGGCTTTTCAAGACACAACTGAACAGGGTGCTGATAATCTCATCGAGGATCCCTCTCCCACAAGCAGCTGGAACAGATCTTTTACCTGGGCTGTTCTGTGATCCTGTGTTGTCTGAATGTAGAACACTAAGCCACAGGGTTTGCTGCTTGTTTGGAAAACTGTCACTCTTCTCAAGTCTACTTGCTGTATGAAAGTGAGCCCTCTATTATTATGAAGCTTTTCCTGTTATGTAATTAGTCAAATGCAAATATTAATGTGTCAGTGGTGTTCTAGCAACTTCTTGAAGTACACGTGAGAGAAAAGGTCACATGGTTCTAGGTTGAGATCAGTCTCAAAGGAGTTAAGGGTAATTTCCTGGGTGCTCTATTTATCCCAACAGCATTTCACAGTCTTGGAATTAAGGGTGCAGTATACATCATCTCCTAGGGTGGAAGAAATGGGAGGAGAAATCCAGAGCCCTGAGGGGCAGGGAAAGGACCACTCACTCTTATTGGTAACTTTCACATGGTTCAAAGAGTCTTTTTAATAAATAGCATAAGGAAAACACCTGCATTGCTGAGCTTAAACTGCTGAATAGTCAAGCATAAAACCAAGGCCCAGCAGTTGCTGCTCAGGCCCTGGCAGTGTGGGCAGAGCTGCTGCTCAGGCCTTCTCCTGCAGCCCTGACAAAGGCAGGTGGAACTGAGCACCACGTTCCCAGCAGCAGCAGGCCCTACTGGTTACCACACCAGGGCTTTGGGAGCAGCTCGTGTTTCTCCAAACTCCTCAGGTGATAGCTCAAGGTTTCCTTTTAACATCTGTCCCTTTGCACCCTGGCACACTAAGGTCCTCCCCTGTTCAGCCTCAGCTCCTGACAATCCTCAACTTTGACTATGTTTCTGCTTTTCTAGCAAAAGGAAGAAGTACCAGTTTCAATCCAATTCCAAACCTCAAAATTAAAATTCTACCATAACGTCTGAATTATCAAATTCCCACTACTTGTAAAATACCTTAAAATCAATTTCTGTCTTCTGTTCTACTCTTGCTCTGTAATCCCAAGTGGTTTTCATCCTCTTTCTTCTCTGGACTGTTGTAGTTCTGACTAAGCTTGCATTGAACCCCTGCATTATGGAGACACACTCAAGTGTTCACCCAGACAGGTATTTAATAATAAGATGATAATATATAAAATTATATATAATATATAATTTAATAAGAGGAGAGAGAAGTATTTCTTGGGTGGCTTTTGTCTGTTTCCTAAAGAATGTTTAACTTTTACAAAGGGAGGAGCTGAGATCAAGTGAACTCTTGGTTCTAAGCATAAATTTAGGT